CTCAGCATTGAAAATAAATAAAAAGGGGCTTGACCTCGCATCATCAAAATGCTTCTGGTGAAGTCACTGCAATCCTATCAGCAAGGCCCATTCAGTGAGGAAGACACTAATACTGGGCTATCCTGATTATGATAGTTGTTACTCACGGAATCTGCCCATTTTAAGGACCACAAAACTGGCTCACTCCTATTGTAATGAACATTACTTATTTTTCCAATACTCCTACTACTAGGACACTACCTATGTGCAGAGGAGTTACACATGCCTGCTGCACACTAATTTACCCTGTGTATTTGGGGTTACTGCTAGGGAATTTCAGATATTAATGCCCCCCCCGCCATTTGTTCAACTATAGGTGTGTTCCTGGTGTTCTTTTGCTGGCGGGCACTGAAATACTTGACAGGTATAACTATCCTTACTTTATAGTCATGGACTCAGTGAGGTTAAGTGAATTGCTCAAAGTCACACGTCTATTAAGTGGCAGAAAACAGTAGCACAATCTAGCTGTCTGACTCCAAGTCCTGAACTTTTAATTGTTATGCTATACAGCGTATATGACTGATGCTAAAATTCCACCATTATTCTAGTGGCCCATCTCAGTAAGTTTATCTAGCACTAGCACTACTGAACAAAATGTAGAATTATTTAGTATCTTCACAGACCCCCATAATAATCATTTTTTTAACAGATTTTAGAGTCTAAAAAAATTGAATTTTTTTGTTAACATAATAAACTGTGAATTACCTAGAACTATTTATATGCCTTTGGTGCATACAGATAACTGAATATTTGAAGATAATGAAACCATATCAGGAAGTCATTCTCACTTATAAAACTTTTTCTTGGACTCTACCAGATATTGATAGTCACCTTTCTGAGTAATAAAGCCCAGCCCAAACTTAGTGTTCTCTTTTCTGTTTGCTATATTTATTGCTCCTATTTGCCCTATATTGGGGGTATTAGATTTTAAATCTCTTGGTGGGCAACTGGTAATAAAGGGAACTAAAAAGAACAGGTAAAAATCTGCCCTGGTAGGTGTGGCTCAGTTATTTGGGTGTTGTCCTGTGCACCAAAAGGTTGCCGGTTCAATTACATGCCCCAGTTGCAGGCTCGATCCCAAGTAGGGAGTATGCAGGAGGCAGCCCACTGATGTTTCATTTTCACATCGATGTTTCTCTTTTTCTTCCCCTTTCCTCTCTCTCCAAAAATCAATTTAAAAAGCCTTTAAAAAAAAAAGAACAGGTAAAATCTTATTTGAATTCATTTTGTAAATAATCAAATTATCATTTTAAATGAATGAAAATTAAGTACTCTTGTATTCTTATGGAATATGAAAGTACCATACACAATTTCCCTTTCCCCCTCCGACATTTTTTGACTGCCTACTATACACCAGCAATTTAACTTTCTCCTGTAAGGCTTTGTTTTAGTGTATAGATTTGGAGTTCAGATAGGTTAGCTGAGAGTGATTAGTACATTTACAATGAACGCAAGGAAGGAAACCTCATCTGGGTTATTGGATTACATGATATTTGGATCAGAGTTGTTCACGGGTCTACATTATGAAAGAATCCACATTTCTAATAATATATATTAGAAATAAATTATGCTTATATAATTGGAAGCTTTACTCATGTTCCTAACTTTTCTATTTAATCATGCTTTACTCAAGAGATAAAATACAGCTATTTCACATGTCTAATTAGGAAGACATTCAGTTAGATTAATATTTGGTTTCTAAATCTGCAGACAAATGGTTAAAATAGTAATTACTCATTAGATAGCTCATTATTCAGAAGGCATCAAACTGTTTTCAGGATTAAAGACACTAGTAACTTAACAAAAACCAGGTCATTTCAACAAACAGCTATGATCTCCTGCCCTCGAGCATCTTATTGGGTGTGTGGAACTTGACCTCTTTAAAAGTATCAGGACTCGCCCAGGCGGGCGTGGCTCAGCGGTTAAGCATCGACCTAGGATCCAGGCGATCAGGGTTCGATTCCCGGTCAGGGCACATGCCTGGGTTGCGGGCTGCAGCCAATCAGTGACTCTCTCATCATTGATGTTTCTATCTCTCTCTCTCCCTCTCCTTTCCTCTCTCTGAAATCAATAAAGATATATTTAAAAAAAAAAAAAAAAAAAGTATCATGACTCAAATTCAGGAATGATTTTTAGTAGGTGTCGTGGGTTGAATTGTGTCCCCCCCAAAAACATAATTAAGTCCTAAACTCCTGGTACCTGTGAATGTGACCTTATTTGGAAACAGGATCTTTGCAAATATAATCCAGTTTAGATGGGGTCATACTGGAGTAGGGCGGGCCCAATCCAATGACTGATGTCCTGACAAGGAGAAGGAGATGTGGAGCTAAGGGACCACCACATGAAGATAGTGGTAGAAGCTGAAGGGATGCAGTCACAAGCTGAGGAACATCAAGCAGTGTCAGTAACTGCAGGAAGATGGAAAGAAGCAAGGAAGGATCCTTCCCTATAGCCTTCAAAGGGAGCACGGCCCTGCCAACATCTTAATCTCAGACTTCTAGCCTCCTGAACTGGCAGAATAAATTTGTGGGTGAAATCACCCAGGTTGGTACTCTGTTCTGGCAACACTGGGAAACTCATACAGTGGATCAAAAGTCAAGAAAGTAACAAAGTTATTATGGCCTTCCTAGTTCTCCAACCTTTGCAATAAATTCTCTTTATTATTCTTTGTTGGCTTTTCTTCTCTCCCTGAAAATAGACACTTCTCAAGGGTAAATCCTTTGATTCTGGCATATATGTGTGTGTGTGTATTTTTTTTCCTGTTGAGATTCAATCTGTCACTGCCAGAAGAAAGGACTCAAACAACTGGTAATCTTCAGTCATGAACTCACCAATCCTGCTTTTTTAACTGCGTTGCGGCATGATAGTGCTTGGTCATCACCCAAGCATAACTCACAAAGAACTGACCTTGTTGACTTATTCTTAAAATTGGGTTCCCACCTCCTTCTACTGATTTTCGTATTGTAGTTATTGCAAATAATAGACTCCTTTATATGATTACCATTTCTTGTACCATTAAGAAAGAAAAGATTAACTGTAAAAGACTGTTACTTGACACATCTGAATTCAGATAATAAAATGTAAAAAATTGTGACTTTAATAAATATAGGGGAGGGGAATAGTAGGTTTACAGTTGTTCATATGAAAAATAATACAATGAATACATAATAATACAAAAATAAACTGTCCTGTGTACTCACAACTGTAAGCCTACTTTTGCCCACCCGGGTGGAGTTATCAAGATTTTCCTAGTCATCCAGAGTACTCTACCCTCCTATTCCCTCAACCTACATACTCAATATCATCAGGCAGTAATGAATCTTCCTTTACAAAGTCTCTTAATACCCATTTTCTTTATAGTTTTAGTCTAAGCATCTTTTTTCATACAAAGACACAGTAACTGGTTTCTGAGACTGTCTTTGCCCAAACTCCCTGCATATCAATGCCAAATTAATTTTCCTAAAATATCTATACATGTTTTATTTATTCCTTTTAAGGTAGAGAATCCTTACCACCACTGAAATAAAATCTGAGCCTACTTGGCCTGGCTGTGGCAGACACTCATAGATGCATACAATATCCATTCTCTAATTCTGTTTGAGGCAGTTACACACCCAATGAATATACAGTGGTACCTTGGTTTTCGAACGTCTCCACTGATGAACATTTTGGTTTACAAATGCTGTAAACCTGGAAGGAAATGCTTCGGTTTTTGAACATGCCTCGGAAGTCGAACATGCCACATGGCTTCAGCTGAGTGCAAGATCCTGAGGCCTAGCTGTTGGCTGTTGATCCCTCGGTTTTTGAATATTTCAGAACTCGGTCTTCCAGAACGGATTACATTTGAAAACCGAGGAACCACTGTACATGTCTTCCCAGATTCCCTTGCAGCTAGAAAAACCATGTGACATAATCTGTCAGAAGTTCTTAAGGAATTTCTGGGAACATCTGTGGTTTCCTGATATAAGCACTACCCCTTTCTAGAATACGAAGCTAAAGGTGAAGCAACCATTTTGTAACCATGAAGCAATAAGCATACAAATGAAACTGACAAACTAAGAATGGGAGATTATAATTATAGCAGGGGCCTAGGCCACTGATTACATTGCAGAGACACTGTCCCAGTCCTGAACTTCCCAGTTCTTAATGTTTTATGTGTAAAACATAGAATCCCATTTGGTTTAAGCCACACTGAAGGGATTCTGTTACATGCAGTTGAATACAATCCTAACTGGAACCAGTGTTCAAAGCTCTTCACGACATGTTCTCAACCACTCACTTTGTCTTGCCTCCTATTATTTTCTATACTTGCAGGTATCCACGTCTTGTTCACATCATTCTGCACTGAATTCACTGCTTACAAACATACAATATTCTTCTATATCTCCATGCTTTTATACATTTTCAAAGAAATGCCACTCCCTCACCTGGGCAAACTCCTACTTAACATCCAGTTTAAATACAGTGTTAACTTGTTTTTTCCTTTGTGAACCCGTAATACTTTGTTTATACCTCTAGCCTAGCATTAACCATTAATTTACACATCTGATTCCTCAATTAGACTATTAAACCCTCAGATGCAGTGACTATCTTTTTTTATCACGTATCCTCAATGCTTGGCACATGTTAACTTTTTGATAAATATTTAATGAAGAATAAAACACTAACTGGATTTTTTTAACTGGTATTTTTTTAAATTGAAAGTAATTCACAATTCATTCATATATACTTATATTTATCTGCCTTTGTCCCATCAGATACTGTTCAACTATTGTCTTTCTTCCTCAATGCATAACTTACAAAAAATTACAGTACTAGAATCAACATCTAAAAAAATCCAGTTATCATGCTTTATTCTTCTCAATGTTTCCTATAGGACCCAGCACAAAACTTTAATCTAGTAAGCACTTAAAAATGCTTGAACCTTATTATGGCATCATGAAAAACAGAAAACACCGTACCTATAGAGGAAGACTGTGGACTAATCAGAAGGTCCTCTTGGACTTGTTCACTTCCTGGCACTGTCTGCTGATCACTGAGTGAACTCTGAGATGCACTGACAGGCTGGGATACTTCCTCATGAACCTCCTCATCACTTAACCTTTCTACTTTGACCCGGACATCTTCTTCGGCACCCAGAGGCAAGGTAGTTTTTGCGCTCTCACAAGTCACAAAATCGGCCATTCTTCTATCTGTCTCAGATGGGCCAGGTAATTCTAAAGTCCGGGTATTTTCTGCCTGCTTAACCTTATCAGGCTGAATTCTTCGATCAATTCCAAAAGGAAAAGTCCAGGGAAAAGCTAAAGAAGAGTCAACTGGTTGATTTCTATTTTCTGAGAAGGAAGCTGAAGAATTCAACACCTGGGGAGAATTTGTTTGTGTGCTACACTTTACAGGACTTTCAGGAGACATAACAATATAGCTTTTGCGTTTTCTCCGGGATTCTCGGCAAACAGGAATGGTTCTTTCTACCACACTGCACTCTGAAGATACTGGTGAAAGGCTTCCGTCTCGAGAAGTAAAATTGCAGTTAGAGTTATTTTCTTGTCCAGCATCCAGACCCTTTTCCGGTTGGCTGTTGGGTGTATTCCATAAAATGCTTGATTTCATGAACTCTGAGCAGGTGCTGGCAACACTGAACATCTGCATATAACTGGCTGCAGCCAGAACATCAATGATGTTTTCTGTGTTAATTGACAGAGTGGCTGTGTAAGCATATTCTAGAAGGGGTATAAAACCAGTCACTGTAACATGATGTAAATCCAACACGTTCTTGTTCTCATCCTCTGCTTGGCCTACAAGTTTGGTGCGAAAAAAATCACTGCAAGCTGCTAATACCACCTTATGTGCCCGGAAGATTTTGTCCTGCACACGAATAGTGATATCACAAAAATGTCCATCATTTCGCAGCATATTTAGTTTTCCAAGCATTTCCTGGCTGTGGGAAGAAGAGCTATGAGTAAATGTTTTCACACCCATCTTTTCCTTCCTCTTTTACAGATGCTCTTCAAGGATGCAAATGAATCACAAATGACCTAAAAAAAATAAGTAAAATAAGCATTAATTGACGGTTTAGTAGTTGAAATAGGCAATTTAGGTAGTTTTCATGTAGCCATTGTGCTAAATTAAAAAAGCTGAAAGACGGCAGTGAACATATTAAACATCCCCCGCTCCCTCACCCCCCCAATATATGGGCAACTAATTTTCAACAAAGAAGCCAAGTAAATAGGCCACAGAGAAAGGAAAGCCTCTTCAATAAATGATGTTGGGAACACTGGACAGCCATATGCAAAAAATCAAATTAGACTATGAAATCTTACACTATACACAAAATTTAACTCAAAATGGATTAAAGATTTGAATGTAGAAAGAAAACATAAGCACTAAGCTTATGAACACTGGTCTCAGAGATGTTTTTGTGAACTTGACTCCAAAGGCAAGGGAAACAAAAGCAGAAATAAACAAAATGGTACTACATTTGTACCAAACTAAAGAGCTTCTGCACAGCAAAAGAAGTCATCAACAAAACACAAAGGCCATCAACTGAATGAGAGAAGGTATTTGCAAATGATACTTCCCATAAGGGCTAATATCCAAAATATATAAAAAACTCATACAACTCAACAACAACAAAATCTAATTAAAAAATGGGCAGAGGACCTGACAGATACTTTCCCAAGGAAGACATACAGATGGCCAACAGATACATGAAAAGATGTTCAACATCATTACTTATCAGGGTAATGCAGATCAAAACCACAATAAGATATTATCTCACAAATGTTAGAATGCTATTATTAAAAAGACCAAAAGTAACAAGTATTAAAGAGGATGTGGTGAAAAGGGAACCCTTGTACACTGCTGGAGGGAATTGATATTGGTACAGCCACTGTGGAAAACAATATGGAAGTTCCTCAAACAATTAAGAATAGAACTTCCGCATGACCCTGCAATTCCCCTCACTTCTGGGTAATTAGCTGAAAAGTTTGAAAACACTTATTTATAAAGATGTATTTATTCTTGTATTATTGTATTTTCCATATGAACAACTGTAAACGTACTTTTGCCCCACCCTGTATACAATGGAATATTACTCTGCCATAAAAGATGAAATATTGCCATTTCCAAAAACATGGATAGATCCTGAGTATTATGCTAAGTGACCTAAATCAGATGGAAAAGAACAAGAACTGTATGATTTCCCTCAGGTGTGGGATATATAATAGAAAGCAACAACCAAACTTGAAGACACAGACAACAGAATGGTGGTTACTAGAGAGCAAGAGGAGACAGGGGAGGGCAAGAGGGTAAAGGGGGTCAAATATATGGTGACAGAAGGGGACTGGAGCACACAAGAGAGTACACAGATGTCGAGTTACAATGTTGTACGCCTGAAATTTATATATCATCAATGAATGTTACCACAATAAATCTAATAAAATAAAAAAGTTAAACCTTTTCATAAAAACTTCACCTACCAAAAAACCACTTTTTTAAATTTCCTCTACCTGTCCCCTAAACTGTTCCATCAGTGGAGTCTGAGCTGATGTTTTAATTAAGTGCACAGTTTTAATTGCTTCACATTTGATAATTTGACTGTCATTATCTATCAGCAGGTACATTATCCCTGTTTGACAGAAAAGGGTTAACTATCCTGCTGAAGTGAAACAGTTATTAAGCAGCAGACCCAGGGTTGAAATGCAGGAAGCCTGGTTCCAGAACCTATTTAACGTCAAAGCGATATACTGCCTCTTTTAGGACAGAAAGTGAGAAATATAGGGGTTAAGAGTCCAGGCTTTAGAATGTGATAGGCCCGGATCCTCTCAACAATTTCTCAATGACTGTCATGAAAACTAAACAAAACAATATATGTAGTAAATGCTTCAACACAGTATTTCACACTCTGTGAATGCTCGACAAATAAAAGTAGCTGTTGCTGTGACGATTACTAAGTAATCGTAAGACCTTTCTGGAAGTAAATGTATGTAAAATAATGTTTAGTAATCAATCAACTGACTGGATTTTCCTTAGGGAGGAAAAAAAAGACAGTTGTTTTTGCCATTATCAGATTTTACATTTACTTACTAAAAACATAAAAAATTAAAATTCTCAAATACCTTTAAGCAATTCTCAAATACTTTTATTCGCAATCTAATAATGCATCAGCTTTTACAGTACTTTCTGCTAACCTCTTTTTATACCCTCCATGTGAAGTCGGAAGGCTGACATCAGCCCCTTGGTAAAGATAAGAAAACGAATGCTCAGATAAGTCAATGACTAACCAATGACAACCAAGGCAGGATTCTGACTCTTAGATCATAGTACTTGTCCAATGCAAAACATGCAGCTATGTACATCAATTATTTTATCTAAGTTAAATAACTTTAAAAAAATAGTTGGTATTGAAATAAATGCAAAACAAAGCAAATTTGTGGAAATACTTTTATAAAATATCTCTAAATAAAAAAAGATATCAAATGCCTCAAAATTACAACCATCAGTTAATTATGTTAAAGATGAATATTTAATGGATCTGAAAAAAGTTTGGTTCTGAATATTAAATGAACGCACAATTACTGACATACAGTGACCATTCAATAGTGGTAGTTATTATTATTATGTATTTAGTGAAAAATATGATCAAAGAAGACAGGCTATGATCCCATCTTTGTGAAAAATGTGTATTTATAAAATCGCACACACAGAGCAAGACGACATGCAGTCTTGCCTAGAGATCCCAGGCTCCCTAGGGAGGTCCCGGCCCTTCTGACACGGTGCTGGGACGTCTGCATGTACACAACAGCTTTCACCATGTTCGTGCAAGTCATGGTAGGAGTATAGGTGTTTCTTCTTTTTTTTTTGCACATTAAACACACTCTTCCCCCAAAAAACCAAAAGCAACATACTGTACAAAACCCTGGGGTTTCAGGTACTTTTAGTCACAGAGGCCTTTTTCTTTCCCCAGGAAAAGGCATTTCAAAAACTGAAGATGGCAACTGCATCCCACTCTTTTCTAAGCTCTCTGTTCTTCTTAAAAAAATCCTTACCAGAGGATGTTTACTCATTTCAGAGAGAGGAAGGGAGAGAGAAAGAGGGAGGGAGGGAGGAGGAAATATGAATCTGTGGCCTCCCTTACGAGCCCTGACCAGGGACTGGACCCACAGCCTAGGTACGTGCCCTGACTGGGAGTGGAACCTACAGCCTCCTGGCATACGGGAAGACGTTCCAACCAACTGGGCCGCCTGTCCAGGGAAGGCTTCTGCTGTTTAAACTAAATATCCCTTGTCCCTTTAAGTGCTCCTCAAGAATCTGATTAATATCCTTACTATTCAGATTGCTCTGCTCTCAACAACCTCCACTCTCAATATTCCTTTAAGACTAGTCCCCAGAACTGCACACAATATGACAGGCACAGCAAGATTATAACTGAGCATACTTTACTATTTTTACCTCCCTGTTTTGGACACATATATTAATAAAACTAAATCAGGTATTCTGACAGTCAATTCATACCACTGACTGACTGTTTACATTATCAAAAATGTAATTCAATAACTGACTTACTAGATGTCAGGCACTTTCCTATGTAGAGGGAGGAGAAACACAAGTACAAATAAAACATTGTCCTTGACCGCAATAAGCCTGCAGTCCTTATGAAGAAGACAGAAGTGCCCAGACTCTAAGATATGTGCTGCAGTGCCCTGTGAACGCAAAGAGTAGAACACTGAATTTTCAAAGTCGAGGCAAAAGAGGCATCACAGAGGACAGGGCCTCATGAAGTAGACTGTCAGGTGATGAAGCAGAAGGGAGTCCAGGCTATCACGGGATCACACTCCACATCAGCGAGTGCTCCGCCTGTACAATGTGTGCACTGCACTGGCAACCTGTTAACGGGCACTAAGATACTCTAAACGTGAGCATGCAGAGGGCAATGCAAGTTCAAACATCAAACAATCCATTACATAAACATCCCTTCCAATGGGATGCGGTAAATGTATTTGTAAAGAGGAAAAGAAAAAAAAAAAACCTAAAGACTTCCAGCTGAATAAATATAAAAAGGTCACTGAATATTCTAATACGGGAAGATGGAATGATCAGTCGGGACTCTTCCCTGTCTGATAACATGATAGGATAAAAGACGTAAAGCCCAGTGCCAAGACAGCCAGGTAAGGTCACTGAAATAATATCTTGATCATAAATCAGAGAGTTAACAGTTCAAATATAAACTTGCTCCATTAGTAATCACAAAGAAACACTAGACAGCGAGGACTGGTCTAAGCAAACCACCATTTAACGTATTTGCAGATTTCTCTCTCATAGGAATGGGACGAAGAGGAGGAGACAAGAGGGCTATATAAAGATTTTTATTCACTACCTGCACCCCAGTAAACTGTCTTCTTCTTTAGAAGTCTGAACACCAAGAGTACTCTGACTGGGCCCTGGCCAGTGTGGCTCAGTTGGCTGGGGGTCATCCTGTGCACCGAAAGGTTGCTGTTCAATTCCCGGTCAGGGCACATTCCCAGGTTATGCGCTTGATCCCCAGTAGGGGGTGTGCAGGAGGCATCTGATGGATGTTCTGCTCTCACAGATGTTTTTCTCTCTCTCTCTAAAAGTCAATAATAAAAAAAAAGTTGCTCTGACTGGGATCATGTGGTTCAGGGAGGAAGCATGCCTTCAGAGCAAGTGATACAGTCTCAATCTAAGGACAATAAAGGCAAGGAATTAAATAGCACATCTGGAGACTATGTGCAACAGGGTGTTAAAATGAAACCATTTCAACCCTGGTGTAGATGGAGGCCCCAAACAACAGATACTGTATTATAAAGCGAGGTGCAAGACCACCTATGCAAGAAGTTAGTGGAAAACTACTTTTCAACCTTGAGTTCCACCCACTTTCAAGGTTCAGAGAGTTAAAGATTAGAAAAGAATTTTTGTGGAGAATGATCAGTGTGTTGTGAGTTCCAAACCCTATCCCATACCCTCTTAGACCCCTGCCAGGGAAAGGGGTTGGGGCATGTTAGCTCTCTGTCTC